AAGGCAAACTAAAATCATGTGTGTGTGTTTGTGTGAAAGTTATAAAAGTTTTGTGTTTTTCGGTGTTGTTGTTGTTCTTCTTCTCTTCAACATAAATGTTGGATTTGAGTTGCCTCGGTCTCGATTGAGCGTCACCATAGCGACAATATAACCATAACATTATTTGGCATTTTGATTGTATCCTTAAGATGCTATCAGTTGAGTTGATATCGTAAATATTAGCAGCAAATTACATCATAAAATCATTTGATTCGATTTGACGTTTATTTTTGTTTTTTTTCGTGTTTTTGTTGTTGGCCATTTTTGAAGATTTTTTTTTTGTTGGTGTTTGGGGCTAGAAAAGGTTTGAATGTGTGGGCATTTTTACTGTGTAGATTTTTTTATCCTTTATTTTGATAACAAATTAAAAGAAATATTTCGATAAAAAAATATTTTGTTGTTATGTTTCTAATGATTGTTTACGATAAACATTTTATCGATTTAATTGAAAATAATTTTAACTGAAAACATTAGGGTTATAAATTATTATTTTTAGCAATCACTGACAATAAATGGATAAATATTTGATGCCTTGATAATATCTAAAGATATGAAATAGAAAATTGGTAAAATAAAAAAAATGAATCATAAAAATAACCTTTCGATATAATGTTTCAAAAAAAATTAATTGAACGTTGGGCGCCATTCTATAATACAATATCATAAGACGATTAAAGAAATAAAGTTCGAAATTATTATATGGTCGTTTTTCAAGCGATTTTCTTTAAAATCAACCATATACAGAGATTTTTAAAGATAATTTTTTGAAGAGTTAAAAAAATGGCACCTTTTTTCGGACCCATCCGAAATAATCTTATTGTATGCATCTTCCCTATGCTATGCTGCCTATATTCAAACTTTAATATTGGGCGCCATTATCCATATCGAGAATTCAACAAATGTTGGACGTATTTTCTCTGTTACGTAATTGTAAGGGTCTGTCTAGCAAATATATTGCTTTGATGCAAAAATATATCAAGGAACATTTCATCATCAGTTGGGCGCCAATTTCACAGGAGGCTTATATATAGGGAACCATTTTTTTTAAACTGAGTTAAAGATATTATGAACCACAAAAAATACTAAATACGTGGAAGTTATTTCAAAAACTTGTCTAGGAAAACTTTTTCAAAAAATCCGAAATTCTAAAATATATTTTTGTGTTTATTTCGAATTTGAGTTAGGATCCACAATTATTTCGTTTTTCTCAATTAATTGTGGTCAAAACGAAAATGGCGTGAATTTTATTCGTGACTTGAATATACGCTTAATGGAGCCAATGATGGTATCGAAAACATATTCCAATATAAAATTCCATAGAATCCTAAATAAACAAAAAGTGGAAGGGGGTTTTGCTAACATAAAAACACGAAAAAACCTCTTCGATTGCGTGACAAAAATTGGTATTTCCAAAAAATACTAAAACTGCTTTCAAAAAATTATTGTTTTGTTTTTTTTTTTTTTTTTTTTTTGTAGTCATGGATACTCCCCATTAAAACCTTAATGTGGCAGCAAATAATGGCGATTGGCTGTGTGGTTGATTGGTTGTTGTGGTTGTTGTTGGTTAAAGCTCCCCTTTTTTGTTTCGCTGCACCTCATAATGGAAGGTTGTACATGAAACTTTAGACCGGTTTTTTGCCTGTAGTTCGTTTGGAGTCACAACAAAAAATAGTTTTAAGGCTCTTTTTTTTCAAGCCATATAAATGTGGCAATGTTGCATGTTTGATGCTATCGACATCATCATCGCCGACGATGAATGCGAATGGCGTGTTAAGCCTCTGTTTCTATACGATGGGGCTGGGCACGAACAGAAAAAACCAATGGCATAGAAAAAAAAACATGCACGAATTCAATGCAAGATTTTTCTACAAATCAAAATGGCTACAAATGTATTTGAAAAAATAAAAATGAAAAATAACATGCCTAGAATAACAACATTTACAAAAAAGAAAAAAATTTTAATATTTATTCGAATCACGTAACGTGCCACGGCATGATACCACGGAAAATGTATATATTTCATTCAACCCAAAAAAAAAAATGAAGCAAGACAAAATTGTTGGAAATTTGAAGTCATGCTTAACGTTGGGCGCCACATGCACATATATTTAAATATGTGAAAATATGGGTCCAGTTTTCAATGATAATGCACGAACTCCTTTCTATTTAACACCTGGCTTAAAATCGTTTCCCAAATAAAGATGTAAGCGAATTGAATGTTGGGCGCCATTTGTTATACATTGTGCTATAATTATTGGTTGAAATTTTTAACAGAGTTTTACTTTAAAATAATTAACCCTCCATGAAAAAACAAAACTGACAAATAATCCTAATAATAATTAAAAATATTTTTTATTGAAACTAACGTTGGGCGCCATTATAAAATTCAAACAATATTTAGCAAATAAAAGTTATTCCTCATTTCATTCTGTACTAATGCATGTTGCAAATCAATTTTCGCGACTCACTATCCAAAATTTTGTTTGGGGTTTAAAATGGCGCCCAACGTTAGTTTCAATAATAAATATTTTTAACTATTATTCTTTATCATAAACTATTGTCACATCTAAAACTATAACCATTTATTAGGAAAGTGAATAATGATTAAAATATTTTCTATTGAAACGAAAGTTGGGCGCCATGTTAAATCCCAAACTATATTTTGGATACATCCCATTTTTATAGCTCCCACAATAAAATGCAGTGTATATTAAATTTCTCATTCCGTCTGTAACATATCGAAATATTTTCGGGGGATATATTCAATAGTTATATTCAAATAAAATTCTATGTCAATTTAAGCATGTCCGTCTTTATATAGATTTCGAGGGACAGAAATGGCGTCCAACGTTATTTGGAATAAGAACATTGTAAACTATTTTTTGGTTTTTGTCATATATTGTTTAAAGGAGATGCATATCTGTTAAAGAGGATACTTAGTAAAAGAAAAGCCCTATACCAGAATTGGATTTTTTTGTTTTTTGAGTAGTAAAAAGCGATTGAATGGACTTTTTACGGACTGTTAGAGCTACAACCTTGATTCCCTAAAAATATTTTTCAAGAAAAACGTGGATTTCCTCAATCAAGAACTAACTCCTCATATAAACTTATTAAAAACTATTTGAAAATCTTGACGTTGGGCGCCATTTATCAATTTTTGCCATTTTGAAACAAATATTTTCGATAATCAGCAGAGACTTACGCAAAGAGGGCTGGACCCACCCGAAATAACTTGATTGTGCAACAGAACAAATGTTTTTAGTTTTAAGGAGATGTAATTCTGATAAAGCGGAAACTTGGTAAAAATTGCATCCAACTTCGCAAAATAAAACAAATGGCGCCCAACATTAAATAAACATAGATCTTAATACTTAAGAAAAGGGGTTTGAAATTCGCCACAAACATTGCTACCACTTCAGTATTTTGGATTCTACTTACGTATCCAATATCCCTACCAAAAATTACCCTTATTGGTACAAAGATTCAGGGTAGATTCTATCCTCTGTGTATCTAATTATTCGGTAATTTTAGGATTCTTGGCAGGTTTTTCAACCGAATTGTCTGTACTTCGGTATTTTTGGTTCTGACTGTGGGGAAAATATCCATACCCTTACAAATTATCAATATCGATTCAAGTTGCAGGGTAGATCCCAAAAAAAGGATACCTCTCTTTATTCGGAATTGTGGGGGTTTTGAGAATGGGTTTCAATAGAATTGGCTAAAATCTGATATTTTAGGTTTTCTTTGTGCCTATATAAGAGTCGCGAATGATTTTAGGGTTTTTAATGTTAGGAAAATCGTTACATTTTAGGGTAGTCCCCATATAGCAGTATCAGTTTAAAAGTTGGTACAAATTGCACCGAACTTCGCATGGTGTCCACCATTAAATAAAAATAGCTCTCAATATTAAAGAAGGAGATTTCAAATTCGGCACAAACTTTGCTACTACTCTAGTATTTTGAATTCTCATTAGGTAGCAAATATTCCTACCAAACATTATCCATTTTGGTCCAAAGTTTCAGGGTAGATCCTATATAACTGTGCAACTCATAATTCGGTAATTTTAGGGTTCTTAGCAGGGGTTTCGACATGGATTCTGATTGGGTGGAAAATCGTCTTACCCTTAACAAATAAAGGTACCTCTCTTTATTCGGTATTTTGGAGGTTCTGAGAATGGTTTTCAATATAATTGACTATAATCTGATATTTTAGGTTTTCATTAGGCCTGTATAAAAGTCTCGAATGATTTTAGGTATTTTAAATCCCCAGAAAAAATTTATCATTTTTTGGGTAGTCCCAATATAACGGTACTTAGTTGGATAGCAAATCTTTCTACCAATAATTTTGTATTATGGATTCTCGTTGGGCAGAAAATCCCCACAGCAATAGTTATCAATATCGGTTCAATTTTCAGGGTAGATTCCAAATAAGTGTACTTCCCTATGTTTCGTATTTTGATGGATTTGAGCACGGTTTTTTTAACCGGATTGGTTATTATTTGATATTTTAAGTTTTCATTGAGCCCCCATATAAAAGTCCCGAATGATTTTTGGCATTTTGAATGTCCATTCCATGGTGGAGAGTATAAAAATTCGAGCCGACCGAACTTGACAACGTTTTTATTTGTTCGATTTTTTCGTGTAGTCCTATTTCTTTCCCGAGTTATCGAACATTTATAATGCTTCGTTGGCTTCTATAGATCATTCTATAATATCAAAGAAAAATGATTTGACGTTGGGCGCCATTGTCAATATCAATGCCATTTTCAGTATCTATGTTTGGAATATCAAAATGTATGAAAGAAAAAAATATTTTTTTATTCGAATCACGTACCATGCTGTGTAATGGTACCAACGAAAAAAAAGAAACAAAAAAAAACATGGTGGAAATTTTAAAGTCATGCTTCAACAAATTCCATATAAGCAAAAAATCAAAACTTTAAAAAAAGAAAATCGAAAATGTCATGCATACAAAGGCAAAAGGTGTAATAGTATAGGAAAAACCCTCATACCGTTTGTATCCAATATATCGTTGAAATCATCTAAAATTGGTGCCATATAATGTTCAGCATCTGTGCAGTTTCCTGATAATGATAAGTGAAAATTTTAGACATTAATCAATAAGGTGTATGAAAAGCAGTGGAAAATTCAAAAGGTGAACAAAAAGGCAATACGGAAACTAAAAAGAAATATGAAAAAATTGAAAACATTGACAAGGTAACAAAAATTAACAATATTATGTCACATCAAGGTCCCCAATCCATTTATTTTAATAATTATTTACAGAGATTTAGAATACTTTTTTTATGATTCCCGAACTGCCAAAAAAAAAATGGAAATTAAATTTACAATCAATTTTTTTACCTATTTATAAACTATTAATAATACTAGGTCATTAAGTTCATCAATTAAGAATAAATTCTAATACTTATTTAAATAGATTTCGAATAGATTTTTTCTGGAACTCCGAAATAACCGAAAAAATTGGAAATTAAATTTACAATCAATGTTCTGCCTATTCATTAAGTAAATACTCAAATAATCAAAGCATTGCTTTTCAATATGGGTATAACTCATATATCTTTCGAACACCACCACAACCCCCTCCCATCAAAAATATATAATACCAAAACGGAAATAGTTCGAGCCTAAAATGTTAATCCTCACCTGAAAATAACATTTAAGCATTACATGACATATATCAATTTTTTGTGTGGCAGACCTCTATTCTCTTAGCTGGCTATCTATGCTGTGTGATATGCTTCCCCCTCCCCGAAAAAAGTAAAGCAAAAATATTGATATTAGTTTACAAATCATAGAGCATTGAAATGTGAGCTTTACTTGTCACAACAATCAATTGATAATTTAGCTAAAACCCTCTTTTTTCCACTAATCAAAACTATGAAATCTCTTCCACTCTCTTCTCTGTGTTCCTCTCACTGAAACCCAAAACAATGACGAAAATGTTGCTGTCAAAAAATAGTTAGCCTTTTGACAGGTTTTTAACTCATATTCTCTGATAAGACAACCTAGAAATACTAATATTTCTTCCTCTTCTTCTTCACTTTTATTTTCTATATGAAGAGCATAAAAACTAACTCCATAATCCGGCATGTCAATTTTAATGACACATAGCGATTTAATGTGTCAATTTAAATATAGAAAATAAAAATTATATGAGGCCATATACAAAAACCATATGGAAAAGTTAACGATTATTTGATTTGGGTTCCCCAAGCAAAAAATCGATGGTTAACCAGAAAAATGTCTGGACTGGGGAATGAATCTCTAGCTGTCATAAATAATAACTTTAGTTTAGTCATTACAGTGTTCTTTGTAAATGAAGTGTGTACTGCAATTAATATATTTTTTTCTATGCAACAATTTTTTCAATAAATCCAAGTGTCAATCAAATGGCGAGATTTTGTGGACAATGAATTTATTCATAGGGTTGCAACAGAATTGAAAATAAAAAAATAATATTTAAATTTGTGAAGGATCTTCGAGATAAAATAAAATTATTTTCCAATGAGACCATATTTCTCATTTTCAATATCGGAATCCACTCCAAAATCAACAAATATGAGGAATTTCTTTAAAAAAAATAAAATATGGACGCCACTTGTCGATGTTACCATGTTATCTGATTTTATGTTGGGCGCCACTCATATATAAATATGTGAAAATGTAAGGAATATTGCAATATCGTTGCTTACGTTAGGGCTCTAGTATCAAAATGGCCATTTAAAATAAATTTCCGATCCTAATGTATGAAAGGCACATTAGGGGGCCAATTGTGCAAATATCGAAAATACAATATTTTCGACTTTCGAAGTCTTTGAAAAGAACCTTAATTAATAGTTTTGTTATGCTCTTTCAAGATGTGATTCGCTTCAAAGATCAAAAATGACCTCCATAAAATTTCGGCACCAACTATGCTAATATTAAAATATATGCGAATGTCTTGTCAATGTGTCGACTTTCTATGTTGGGCAAGTATTTTCTGAATATTTTGCAATGTGTGTTGGTCGCATATCCACTTAGAATGCAAAAATATATAAATTGGGAGTTGGGCGCCACATTCCATAATATTCAATTCAATAAGAGAATCCTACGTACCCAAGAAACCACTGGCAGAATTATAGATTCATGGAAATTTCGATATTTGATATATTTTTAGTTGGGCGCCATTTTTGGTAATAATATTTATAAATTTAGTATTTTCTTGTCCGGAGTTGTCCTATAAAACCGAATTTAACGTTGAGCGCCACTTTTCGTAATCGATAAGCTTTCGGTGAGACTCGATATCAATAAGCTTTCGGTGAGACTCATTTTAACTAATTGACTGGACTGACATTTGATTTATTTTTAGTTGGGCGCCATTTTCGGTGATAATATTAAAATTAAATTAAATTTCGTATTTTCCTATCCGGAGTTCTCCTAAAAAAAACAAACTGAGAGAAATGCCTTATATCCCGTAAAGGATTTAATGTTGAGCGCCATTTTTCGCAATATTCAAAATCGATAAGCTTTCGGCGAGACTAAGTTTAGACTCATTAACAGGACTATCCTCTGGAAAAATCCATAAATATATCCGATAAATCTCTAAACTAGCCGGAAGCAACATCTCAAAAACGTTTCCGACTCATCTTCAAATCGGAAACACCACTTATAAAAAATTCAGGTGCGCTTCAAAAAAATAGGTTTTTTAACATTTTCAATAAATCTAACGTTGGGCGCCACTTTCCACAATACCCAAATCCTGATTTATTTTCAACAAAAAAGGATGAAAAATATTATAATCTCTTTTTAGGGGCCCTTCTCACTTTCGAATGAAGTCCGGAAAACGGACAACACTTTCACCAATAAAAATAAGAAGAGAAAATTAATATTTTTATGCGCTCATTAAACTCGAACTTGTTAACGTTGGGCGCCAATATAGGTATCAGTAAAGAAAAAAAATATGCGTAATGGAATTGGTTTTGATAGAAGCCCGAATGCAGATAGGACACACAAATATATATTTTAACATTCAAAAAAAATAACGTTGGGCGCCACTTTTCAAAAATTGAATAGGAAATATTAAACTCTGTTTTAATGTTGGGCATTTCTTCAAACCGGAAACAAAATCCATGATTTTTTACGAATTCTGTCGTTAGGCGCTATTATAGCTATTAAAAATAAAATAGTATAGATTTTTCAGTATAGTTTAGCTGTAGAAAGCCTGCCAAAGATTTTTTTTGTTTAAATTGGGACTTTATATTCTTAGAAGATCTGCGCGATGTTATTGAACTTTAGAATGGGGTAATACGTCTACAAACAATGATGGTCCGTAAAAGTTCACACAGCCTTAGATCTGTGAAACTTTGCCTTTCAAATTTATTCCAGTCCTAGAAGGTTATCCCGTAAAAAGGGGTTTAATTTTAAAAGTGGAGCAAATTTTAAGTTAACTATAATTAAAAATGGCTTATTGGAGCACACAATGGGCTGAGGTGACAGACGTTGGCCGAGTATGATTCGGGTCGTTTCGGATCGTAGATCCCTCTGTCGTGGAAACGCTGTATTTTGCGCCTAGCAATTTTTTTTTAACAGGAATACCTCTTTTTGGTTTAGAAGACATAATCTATTAAAAAAAATTAAATTTTAACGTTGGGCGCCATTTTAGTTGCAGAAGAAATCTAAATGGAATTTTTTCCATGGATGGCATGGCGAGTTGTTCTATAGCTGGAAAATCTTCTTTATCAAATAGAGTTTTTTGGTTGACATTTTTAAATGTCAATACCTTGGCAACCCTATCACCCTTTCAAAAACTCCATACTTATTATTGATAATATTTTGTTTTGTTTTCTCTCTTTCATTGTAATGGTTACCAAGAATCGAATAGCCAACAATATTTGATGGACATTTCTCATTGAATGGCTGACTGACTGGCTGTCTATCCATCTGTGTTTGTGCAGTTGATATGATAACGTATACTCACACACTGACACACATTACAATGTGGCCTCAAATGTTCATCAAATGCTCCTCATATTTGATTTTTGAATATTTCATGGACAATACAAACACTACGAAAACATTCACACACATGCAATACTATTGGAAATGGAGAATATATCGAATATTGATTGTTATCGGAATTTGGTGTTTTTTTTTACACCAACAATACCACGGCCAGACATTGTGACACCCCTGGGCACACATTCGCTCACCTATATGTGATGTGTACAAAGTTGTTGTGGATTTTGTTGAACGTGTGTTAAAGACACTTCTATTTCTGTTGTCATTTTATGGATTATTAAAGGTTTTTTTTCGCTTGATAATGTTAGTTCAAGGATTATGTTCGGTAGGTCTCGTTGCAGTAGTGATTAGTTACAGTTTGTCAAGAAAATATTTTGATGGAGGCAATTAAAAAAAAAAACATTGTAATGGTATATGGCTCCTTTAGAGTCTATGAAGTTTTAGGACCACTAAGCCAATTCAAGAATCCTTTTAAGAACAAGATTAGCTTCGAAAGGAAACCACTGATATAATTAAATAATGGAATAATAAAATCAGCCGTTTCCTATATATACTAATTCTCATAATTTAATGTTGGGCGCCATTATATAAAGAAAACTTACTAGTGGTTGCTTTTGCAAGCTTTTTCTAATATTAAAGAAAATTTGTTGGTTCATCGAGGAGCCTGAGATGTCATTATAAAAAAAAGCGTAAACAAATAGAAGTAGCACATCTACCCTAATAAAAGATAACAGTTGGGCGCCATAAGAAAAATTCTTCACATGAAATAAGTCCTTTAGGTTCATCGGATAGTGTGATTAGACTGAAGAAATAAATTAGATCTTACTAGATTTTTTTATAATATAGTACTTCAAACGTGGCAGAACAGGCATATGAGTTGACATAAAATCCTGAAGTTACAACTTAAAAAAATTAAACAAATGTTGGGCGCCATTTTTTTCTTTATAATGAGATATCTTGTGCGCATATTTAAAAGAGTTTTTTATCGTTAACCAAAAAAAAAAATGGAGAAAATAAAGTTAAAAACTGTTGGACTCTATATTTCTTTAGGAAGGAAAAATTT